CTCGTCCTGGTCTAGTCCTGGTCCTGGTCTAGTCCTGGTTTCTGGTTTAGTCCTGGTCTAGTCCTGGTCCTGGTTTAGTCCTGGTCTAGTCTGGTCTAGTCCCTGGTCCTGGTCCTGGTGGTCCTGGTGTAGTCCTGGTCTAGTCCTGGTCCTGGTGTAGTCCCTGGTCTAGTCCTGGTCTGGTGTAGTCCTGGTCTAGACCTGGTCCTGGTGTAGTCCTGGTCTAGTCCTGGTCCTGGTCCTGGTCTAGTCCTGGTCTAGTCCTGGTCCTGGGTGTAGTCCTGGTCCTAGTCCTGGTCCTGGTGTAGTCCTGGTCTAGACCTGGTCCTGGTGTAGTCCTGGTCTAGTCCTGGTCCTGGTGTAGTCCTGGTCTGTGGTGTAGTCCTAGTCCCGGTCCTGGTGTAGTCCTGGTCTAGTCCTGGTCCTGGTGTAGTCCTGGTCTAGTCCCGGTCCTGGTGTAGTCCTGGTCTAGTCCCGGTCCTGGTGTAGTCCTGGTCTAGTCCCGGTCCTGGTGTAGTCCTGGTCTAGTCCCGGTCCTGGTGTAGTCCTGGTCTAGTCCTGGTCCTGGTGTAGTCCTGGTCTAGTCCTGGTCCTGGTGTAGTCCTGGTCTAGTCCTGGTCCTGGTCCTGGTGTAGTCCTGGTCTATCCTGGTCCTGGTCCTGGTGTAGTCTGGTCTGTCCTGTCCTGTGTAGTCCTGGTCTAGTCCCGGTCCTGGTGTAGTCCTGGTCTAGTCCTGGTCCTGGTGTAGTCCTGGTCTAGTTCTTCATGTTGTGTAGGATCCAGTCTGTGTAATGTTCCACTCGGGTGTAAACTCCATAAACTCTCTTAGACCCACAGTCCTCAGGTCCCCCCCAGGAAACCACCCCGAGGACAGTCCACCTCCGCTCCTGCCCCTGCCCCCCCTGCCCCCGCTCCTGCCCCTGCCCCCCCCCTCCACCTGCCCCCCACCTGCCCCCGCCCTCCACCTGCCCGCCCCTCCACCTGCCCCTGCCCCTCCACCTGCTCCCCTGCCCCTCCACCTGCTCCCGCCCCTCCACCTGCCCCCGCCCCTCCACCCCGCCTGCCCCTCCACCTGCCCCTGCAGCTGGACGAAGCCCCCGCCGCTGTCCCCGGGGCAGGTGTCGCGCCCGCCCTCCCTGTAGCCGGCGCAGAACATGGCGGCGTGGCTGATGTTGTAGTGGGCGGGGGCGGACCTGCCGGGGCGGGACCTGTAGCTCGCCGCGCACTCGTCGCCGGGGACGACCGGCAGCTTCACGTACTGCAGCAGGTCGGAGGTCGCGGGGGCGGGGCCGGGGGTCACGGACACGCCCCACCCGGCCACCACCCCGAGAGAGAACGGCTCCGGCAGAGGAGGGGCCCCCTGAGGAGAGAACGCACAGATAATACTCCCTACAACTGTACAACTCACACTTATGTCACAGATAATACTCCCTACAACTGTACAACTCACACTTATGTCACAGATAATACTCCCTACAACTGTACAACAAACACTTATGTAACAGATAATACTCCCTACAACTGTACAACAACACACCCTTATGTCACAGATAATACTCCCTACAACTGTACAACACCCTTATGTAACAGATAATACTCCCTACAACTGTACAACTCACACTTATGTCACAGATAATACTCCCTACAACTGTACAACTCACACTTATGTCACAGATAATACTCCCTACAACTGTACAACTCACACTTATGTCACAGATAATACTCCCTACAACTGTACAACAAACACTTATGTAACAGATAATACTCCCTACAACTGTACAACAAACACTTATGTAACAGATAATACTCCCTACAACTGTACAACACTCACCCTTATGTAACAGATAATACTCCCTACAACTGTACAACAAACACTTATGTAACAGATAATACTCCCTACAACTGTACAACAAACACTTATGTAACAGATAATACTCCCTACAACTGTACAACAACTCACCCTTATGTAACAGATAATACTCCCTACAACTGTACAACTCACACTTATGTCACAGATAATACTCCCTACAACTGTACAACTCACACTTATGTCACAGATAATACTCCCTACAACTGTACAACAACTCACCCTTATGTAATATATAATACTCCCTACAACTGCACAACTCACACTTATGTCACAGATAATACTCCCTACAACAACTGTACAACAACTCCACCCTTATGTCACAGATAATACTCCCTACAACTGTACAACTCACACTTATGTCACAGATAATACTCCCTACAACTGTACAACACACTTATGTCACAGATAATACTCCCTACAACTGTACAACTCACACTTATGTAATATATAATACTCCCTACAACTGTACAACTCACCCTTATGTCACAGATAATACTCCCTACAACTGTACAACAACTCACCCTTATGTAATATATAATACTCCCTACAACTGTACAACACACACTTATGTAACAGATAATACTCCCTACAACTGTACAACACACCCTTATGTCACAGATAATACTCCCTACAACTGTACAACACCCTTATGTAACAGATAATACTCCCTACAACTGTACAACACACCTTATGTAACAGATAATACTCCCTACAACTGTACAACAACCCACCCTTATGTAACAGATAATACTCCCTACAACTGTACAACACACCCTTATGTACAGATAATACTCCTACAACTGTCCACAGATAATACTGTACACACCCTTATGTAACAGATAATACTCCCTACAACTGTACAACACACCCTTATGTCACAGATAATACTCCCTACAACTGTACAACACACCCTTATGTAACAGATAATACTCCTACAACTGTACAACACACCCTTATGTACAGATAATACTCCCTACAACTGTACAACACCCTTATGTAACAGATAATACTCCCTACAACTGTAACAACACACCCTTATGTAACAGATAATACTCCCTACAACTGTACAACACCCTTATGTAACAGATAATACTCCCTACAACTGTACAACTCACACTTATGTCACAGATAATACTCCCTACAACTGTACAACACCCTTATGTAACAGATAATACTCCCTACAACTGTACAACACACCCTTATGTAACAGATAATACTCCCTACAACTGTACAACACACACTTATGTCACAGATAATACTCCCTACAACTGTACAACAACTCACACTTATGTAACAGATAATACTCCCTACAACTGTACAACAACTCACACTTATGTAACAGATAATACTCCCTACAACTGTACAACACACCCTTATGTAACAGATAATACTCCTACAACTGTACAACAAACACACTTATGTACAGATAATACTCCCTACAACTGTACAACACACAAACTTATGTCACAGATAATACTCCCTACAACTGTACAACTCACACTTATGTCACAGATAATACTCCCTACAACTGTACAACAACTCACCCTTATGTAATATATAATACTCCCTACAACTGCACAACTCACACTTATGTCACAGATAATACTCCCTACAACTGTACAACAACTCACCCTTATGTAATATATAATACTCCCTACAACTGCACAACTCACACTTATGTCACAGATAATACTCCCTACAACTGTACAACAACTCACCCTTATGTAATATATAATACTCCCTACAACTGCACAACTCACACTTATGTCAGTCAAGTTTGTGTAAGTCTAATATGAACCAGGTCTAAACCCCTTCTGGCTCTGGCCCCGCCTCTGGCCCCGCCCCTGGCCCCGCCCCCCGCTCTGACCTGGCTCCTGATTGGCGGGAGGCAGACGGGGCGGATGATGTCACTGAGCTGCGCCGCTCTGCTCAGCCTCACGAGGGCGATGTCGTGTTTGTAGTTCTGAGGCTGGAAGTCGGGATGAAGAACTACAGCTCCCACAATCCTCTGCTGCGCCTGCTCCCTCAGACTGGAACTGTGGACCCCGAGGAAGACCTGAGACCAGACCAGAGTTAGACCAGGACCAGGACCTGGACCTGAGACCAGACCAGAGTTAGACCAGGACCAGGACCAGGACCAGGACCTGAGACCAGACCAGAGTTAGACCAGGACCAGGACCAAGACCAGGACCAAGACCAGGACCTGAAACAAGACCAGAGACACCGCACACAACTACACAATCCAACTAACACAAATACAAACTACACAAATACACAACTTACACAACTAACACAACACAATACACAAATACACAACTACACAACTACACAACACACTACACAAAACTACACAACTACACAAATACACAACTACACAAACGCACAACTCCACAAACGCACAACTACACACAACTACACAAATGCACAACTACACAACTACAACAACACAACACAAACGCACAAAATACACAACCACATACACACTACACAAATACACAACTACACAATACACAAACGCACAATACACAAATGGCACTACACAACTACACAAACTACACAACTACACAAATACACAACTACACAACCACACAACTCACTGACCCACGTGTTGGACTGACCTGGACGTGCTGCGGGTCGACCGGGACCACAGACCCGTCTCTTCGCGGGGACGTGAGGACGTGGGCGGCCGTCAGGACCCAGGTCTCGGACAGGAGGGACCCGGATCCAAACCAGTTCTGCTCCGGGATCCTGGTCCGGTCCTGGACTCGGAGCAGGACCTGCCAGGGGAACATCCCGGACTCGGCCGTGCGACCGCCAACGATCCTCTTCACCAACGACGGGAGAGACCGAGAGAGTCCACAACCTGAGACCAGAACCAGGACTCAACCAGGACTCAACCAGGACTCAACCAGGACTCAACCAGGACCGGGACTCAACCAGGACTAAACCAGAACTAAACCAGGACTAAACCAGAACTAAACCAGACTAAACCAGACTAAACCAGAACTAAACCAGAACTAAACCAGCTAAAACCAGAACTAAACCAGGACTAAACCAGGATCTAAACCAGGACCGGGACTCAACCAGGACTTAAACCAGGACTCAACCAGGACTCAACCAGGACCGGGAC